AAACTGTGACATTAACACTGTGTAATCACAGTGCAAAGAGCAACCCCCCCCCCCCAAATAAAAAACACAAATTCAGCATATTTTTTTTAAATCTCCTTTCTTTTAGAATAGTAGAAATGCTCACATTTCCATTTACACTCATTATATTTTAAGGATTCCTGTGAGTATTTTTAAGTACTGACAATGGATTTAATAAGATTACATAGTAAGTGTTTTGAAATTTCACCTTGCTTAATGAAGTGCTCTTAAACTAGATACAAATAATGTCACACATTATTCATCATTATCCTAGATTATTATTATTATCATTGTTACTATCACTATTATTCAGACTGTATCACAGTTTTTTATGATGTGATGCAATGAGACAGTCAGATCAACAGTTGTCTGTTGTTTACAGTAGGATCATTACACGATTATTTATGAAACCACTGACAAAAGGTATAATGTCATCGTAGAAGTGTGAATCACTGGAAGTTTCTTGTTCAATTTCCTCATTAATGAGTCATCGTCTTTTGTCCCTGCCAGCTACCGTCCTGTTTGTGAGTAAATGTACGTTACCATGTCTGCGTAAGTCTCAAGGGGACTGAATGTACAATACAACACTGTGACTGATGTTTTTTGAACATTTTCACTTTGTTCATTCTAAACTCATAATGTTTTTTAACCTTGTTTTTTTTTAACACTGTCTGCTTTACATGTTTATTTTAAAAGTGTTATCAGCTGACCAGAGCATAGTTTGAGCTGGAAGTTGTGATTCTGCTTTCCTCTTTCTCACCTTTCTCTTGGATTGTCTTCAACAGCTTCCTGAACACATCCTTAAATTTCCTATCACTTACACTAGAGGGCTCTCTTTCCTCACATATCAAAAGCACACATACCGCATTAATTCCACTAAATCAAATATAGGCCCATTTGAAAGATGTGATTTATTAGCAATGTGAAAAAAATAACCAACTGAAAGACTTCAGATGAATTATGATGATGTGGCAAAAACTCCTGGTTGTTCTTATAAGACATATAACTTTCTTTTGGAGACATATTCTTTCTTTTAGTGTTACAATTTCCCCGCAGGTTTATGGGCCAAAGCACAGTGTTGGACTCCAGATGTTGCAGCTGGAGTCCAAGATGCAGGCAGCTATGCTGAGTCACCAGGACACCGTTCAGTGCAGATCTAACGCCTCTGTTCTCAGTGTAACTCAAAAAGATTTAACACTGGTTGAAAAACAAATTATGCCAAGATGTTAAGAAGTTAAATGCTTTTTGTTTGTTCTTCTTCTTTTTTTTCTTTTTTTTTCTATTTTTGCTCAGGCCCGTAATTATAACATACTTCCTTAAAGAGCTGTGTGTTTTATCCATATGAGAAAAGGCTGAGGATTCCGACATGGTGTAAATTTAAACATCTGTTTGTGATTTATGGTTTATGTGGAAGTGTGTGTGCACGCATGTATCTATATGTGTGTATGTGTGTGTATACATCTGCTTTCTATTGCATGGTTTTGCTGCCCCTGTGCCCTAGGGTGCCATGGTTCAAGTTACCTTAAGGAGTCCCTTTGTTCAAGTAGACCATAGCACCTTGAAATTGAGAGTATTTTTATTAAGTGTAAATTTCCTTCAGTTATTATTTTATGCAGCATTTAGAACTGTGTGGAGGACAAGTTAGAAGCAGCTATATTTGGAGCGGAGTGAAGGAGTGAGGAGATCAGGGATGCTTGAGAAGAGCTATTAATGCTGCTCGTGTGAGTGTGTGTGTCATTAGGGATGAGGTAAAGCATGTAAAGGTTAAGGTTAGCGTCCAGGAAATGAGAAACACAGAGATGTGCAAACTATGCAGTTTAAGAAAAAAAATGCATCACAAGTAGCAGTGTATTCTGTAGTGAATCTTTTGTCGTCTCTATTGTTTTATTATCTTCTTCCATACTTTCTTTTTCAGCAGCAAGTAATACACAACCCTAACATCACGTCTTACTTATCAGTTAAACACAGGCTTTTTTTTAATTAGTGAAAATTTATGAGGGCTGCATGAATCTCTACCTCAGCCAGCGGAGAGAACATCTGACTGCCATACATATGTAACGGAGCACTTTGGCTCATTTTAAGCAACGTGCTGCAAACAAAGTGCTTTTTTCCTGTTTGACTTCATGCTGGAGATAAAAGTTGGTGTGTTGTCCATGTGTATTTTTGCAGTTACTTCTGCCTGGCGTTTGGCTTGTCTGATCTCTCTTTGTCAGTGTTTTGGTTTCTTGGTATTTCTTTGGTTTTTTGCACAAGAAGAAATTAGCAGGCATTCCTGTGAAGAGTTCACAGTCTGCGCTAGAAAGGTTAGGTTCTAGCTCAGTGCCGCTCATGACCCAGTTTGGGGACGGGGGGACATGGGTGGGGGTTGGACATGTTTGCGGCTCCTCAAAGTCCAGATTACACTTTTACTTTGAAGACCTTGAGTCATTTCCCTCACTTTCAAGGGTAGCTGCTGGTAACCTTGAGAATGTGGGACAGAAAGGTTATCTTTGTCTCACGCATGCACACAAAAGTCACACAACTTTATCTGCCTAACAATCTCATAAAAGCATATTTCAGTATTTCAAGAGTTATTAACCTCATAACCTCATGTTAGGGTTTGACTGTTAATTGTCAGTCTCTTGGTTCACTTCACAGGTGTTGAACACAACTCTTCAGATGTTTTAAGAGAAATATTTAAAATCAAATAAATAACTAAAACATTTTACAGGAACAAATATGACTGCTTAAACATTTTGCCAATGCTACATCTGTCTGTGGATGCCTGCAGACAAAAAAGAAAGAGGGAAGTAACTTTTGGCTTAGATGTAATGCAATGTGGACATCTGGTCACCCTTTTCTTCCCTTTTTTTGATGCATAAAGCTTTTTACTGTCAGATGTCGGATGCAACGGCCACGGGAAGAACAGCCGACAGAGTCTAAATGAGTCTCTAAAAGCTACGTAAATGGATTGCAAAATTATCATTTTGGGAAATATGTTGACTTAAAAAGAGTCAGACTGAATGTGACAACATGTACAGATTGTTCAAGAGTTGCTATGTTAGATGTGATACAAAACAAAGCTTATTCCTTGACTTGTTGCATTTGTGGCGGTTGCTCGCTCTCATGACAACCTGCTTAGTCAATTTACGTCTGTCGTTACAACAAATCACTGGTTCCACCCATGAACACGAAGGCCAGATTATATGTTTCTAGAAAACATCTAAATGAGTCAGCATAGCTCTGCAAATAAATCTATAGACAGATGAGACTATGAATAAGATCATTATCAGAATGATGGAAGGAGAAAAATCTGAAGAAGGAAATAATAGCTCATCACCCAAATCATACCACATGTGTCAAACATGGCGGAGGCAGCGTTATAACGTCGATATAGCTACCAATGGAACCGGGTCACTAGTTTTTATTGCTGATGTGACTGCTAATATAAGCAGCAGAATAATTTTGAAGTATACAACGCTATACTCTCAACTCAGATTCGGTCAAATTCTGCAAAACTGATTGGACAGAGCTCCACAGTGCAAATGGATAATGACCTGAAGCAAGCTGCAAGAAAAAAGTTCATGCAAATCATCTGAAAAACCCTTCAAAGTAAAACTGAAAGTTTGAACTTTAATTACACATTGACTGTGCGATCCAGTGTGGTGGTGTGCAGAGGCAAAACTACAGATATTTTGTCTTTCTCCCAAAAAATTTTGGACCTAACTGTTTATATTTTCATGTGTTTCCAAAAAATCTTTCCCTGCATACAGTTAAAGCTCAGAGATTTCATCAGCATGTGTAAATATAATATTTTAGCGAAAAATTATAGATCTTCCAAGCTTACATCAAAGGAGGAGAGAAAAAGCGGGATAGAAAGAAGAGATAAAAGTTCAGAAAAACCAATGATTGAAAAGATGTGGAGAGGGCAGAAAATGAGTAGAAACACTGGTTCTTATGGACGCTGAGTTGGAGAACATAGAGAAGCAGGAAGAGGCCCACATTGAAACCAGACAGACAACATAAAGAGACTGTCACACATGGTTTCATTTAACCCTTTACAAGATGTAAGCTTGTTGTAGACTAGAAAGAGTTGGGTCCACCCATGTAAAAAAAAATAAAAAATTAAACAAAACTTATGTAGGTCGAAGGGCATCTAGGTTCTGTCTTAAGGTTATCTTATTATGTTTAATAATGTTTAAACCAACGCCTTACACGTTACAACACAACACAGGAAAAACACTTGTCAGCACATTGAAGCAACTACGAAAGAAACAAGCACATGCAAGGCGTAACAAGGTTTTTACCGTGTACTATTACAACAAAACTGACCTGTGCTGTACTTCTTTCTCTGCATCGTTTCCCCACACAGATCACAATAAAACCTCCCGCAAGTGTGTGCTGATAAAGGTATGCTTGCTTTGAGTTATTCCAGCTGTAATGATGACCTCCTAAAAAAAGCAGCAAGAAGAAAAAAAGAAACCAATTATCCAACTTTTCATTATTCCAAATTATACATTGAAGTTGGCTGGTGAGTGTCTCACCTGCTAACAGCACACCTGTGATTTTATGTTTGTAGCTGCAATAAACTACGATAGCAAAACTTCCACTTTCTTTGCAGTGCTACAGCTAAAGTATATGTAATATCAAGTTCTTACTCATTTTAGTCTTTCACAGGTATTTGCATTTGCACCATATGAACCAAAGTTGGATCATTTTATCATTGCCACTTATGTATGACTTTTATTTTTCTACCCTTTATTGTGAAGAAAGAGAGGGGGTCACTTGAAATGAGGAAACGGAGGGATTGAATGTGCTGCTCGCAGATGGGAACAATACCTCAAAGCCACTGCGTCTCACATCATTCACACTGGAGGGGGAGAAAAAAGGCTTCAGAGTGGGCTGTGGGCCATTCCCGACCAAATGCAATGGGGTGCGGGCAATTGGACAAGGGGGTGGAAGTAATCAAAAGCACAAGAACAGACAGATGGGTGTGGAGGGCATGACGGAACGGAGAGCAGGGAGGGGAGAAAATACTTTTCATACAGTGTGTGTCAGAGCACCCTGCAGTCCTGAGCACACTCACTCAGAGAGAGAGCGGGGGACAAGAGGGCCAGTGCCTTTGATCGGGTAGGTGTGTGTTTGTGTGTGCATGCAAGTGTGTGAAATCTGTTTGTTTTCTTTTAAATCGAGATGTATACAAGGCTAAATGAGAAGTAAGGGTAGAATAATTTTGGAAAAATAATCACTGAATGTTTTACCTTAATTTTTAAGGTAACAGAGTGAATATTACAAAACTGGCATTCATGGAAGGCTTAAGAAAGCCAGGAAAGGCTTTTCTGAGTTTCCCTGTGGACTAAGACCAGTAAGAATGTGACTGCCTGCAGGCAGCTATATTCCCAAATAAAGTCCATGCCTGCACTGCACCTTAAACCTAAGTAGGACAGAAGAATAACAGATTTAGTTAAAGTTGGTAGTTGGCTGAAAGATTTTTTTTGTTCTTTTAAATGTCTAATTTCACATGTTTGAGCATTTCAAAACATTCTAAAACATCTGTAAGATTATAAATCTCGAACATTTTGGTGATTTGTGAATAACTTTTTCTATTTTTTGGCCTTTTTAATACCACTGCATGTCCCTCTGTTCTCCCTGTGTTACATTACAGTTAAGAATTGAGTGACTTCCTTCCATCATGCGTCTGGTGATCTTCCTTTTGTCTGCCCTGATTCCCCTCGTTCTCTGCCATGGATGGAACTCCTGGACAAATTACTGGCAGAGCCAAGGATACTTTTATGGCTCCCAGTATGCAGACAGAGCATACAGTGTGTCGGCGTGTCCTGACGAGTGTGACTGCCCCTCTTCCTTCCCCGTTGCTATGTACTGTAATGGGCGAGGCCTTACCACCGTGCCACCGATTCCCTCGCATATCAAATACTTGTATCTTCAACACAATGCCATCACATCTTTGCCTGACTCGGCTCTAAGCAATGCAACCAATCTGGTGTGGCTTATGTTGCATTTCAACCAGCTGACATCTGAATCAATTGGCAAGAAGGTAAACACATAGTCATAGGCACATCCAGACACACATCACTATAAATAGCGGTACAATGGCTGACAGGTGTCTAACAGCCCGAGTCGGTTTTCTTTTATTGCTGTCTGTTCTTAATCCTCAAGTTAATTTCCTGTGTTATCTGTTTTTTTAAAGAAAAGAAGAAACCAAAAGGGGGGAAAAAAAACATGAATAAATATTGTGGTTAGTTTTCTGTCATCATATAATAAACTTGTTATAATTTGAAACATGTATGGTTAAAGCAGTGTGATCAGCAGAGCACATGCTCACACTAAACCAGACAGCAGCTTGCTACATCAGAGCCACAGACCTTGTGGTCTACAACCCTCAGCATAAAGTCTCTTTCTCCAGTGAAACACACTGAAAAACACATTCATGCACAAACAAAATTGCACTGTAACCATCAGTTTGAATGCTAGTTGAAACTTAGCCGGTCGTTTGCAAACGCATAAAAAGATGTAGTGTAATATCATTTCGATAATGCATCTGTGCTCTGAAAAGGCCCCTTTCATCATTTTTATTGTAAAACCACCACATACTTTTGCATAATTTTTCATTTTGGGTTTTATACCTGCTCATCTTGATCATTTTGCAGGCATTTCTGAAGCTGGGGGGACTTGAGCGTTTATATCTACAATACAATAATTTGACCAGCATTCCGTCAAACCTTCCCCTCTGCCTGAGAGACCTGAGAATGGATAACAACATGATTGAGAAGGTAAATCTTCAAAAGTTCAAAAATTCACATTCACAGCCCTCCTGTTTTAGTCCAACATCAGTTGAGACATTACGCTATGCTTTACGGCTATTGCCACTTTTACCTAGGTGTCACCTGCAGACCTAGAGGGAATGGATAACCTCACTATCTTGTACCTTCATGATAATGCTCTCTCAGAGGTGGGCTCGTCACTGAAGGGGCTGAACTCCCTCACATTGCTTGAGCTCAGTAGCAACAAGTTGACAAAGGTAATTGTTTATCTGTTTGTTTCTAAATGCATTATTAAGCAACTAAGGTAATCTCGTTCAGAGATGTTGTGTCACTGTCCCAGGTCCCAGCTCCGCTCCCTGCATACCTGCATCAGCTCTACCTGGAGTACAATGCCATCGACTCTATACCTGAGGGATTCCTGAGCCTTTTCTCTCAGCTACAGTATTTTAGGATGTCGCATAACCTGCTAACAAATAAAGGCATCCCCGCTAACACGTTTAACGTGTCTGGACTGGTGGAGCTGGACCTGAGCTTCAACAAACTGGAGAGAATTCCTTCAGTTAGCACCACGCTGCAATATCTTTACCTGCAAGCCAATCAGATCAAGGGTGAGAGTTTCTTTGAAGAAATCATTTTTTTAATCGTCATGTTCTACATTGCCATACAGTTTTCTACCTTTAAGCCAGTTTTGTTGATTTCACAATAAGAAAGTTCATGATTGTATATGTCCTGCCACTTCATGCACACTTAGATTAAACGAGAACAAAAAGTTGTTTGCTGGATTTTGAGAAATGAGATGTTGGACATGTCTTTTCCTGAGGTGATTTATACAGTTATACTGCCATTTTACAGTTTTGCATGAAAGTAAACTCATCGCTGTCTCCATTCTTTCCCTTGCCTGTAGAGTTTACTGTGGGTAGCTTCTGCAGTGTCGTGGACGTGACGAATTTCTCCAGACTCTTAGTGGTGCGACTGGACGGAAACGAGCTCAGTCTTGTGGACATCCCCACCGACGTGAACCATTGTCTGCGCCAGGTTCTCGACATTGAGATCTAAGCATGTGCACAACGCAGTCTGTGGCTCAGTTCACCACATGCACCTACAGCAGGACTATTTTTTTT